TTGAATCCCGGGTCAGGCCAAATAAAACTTCGTTATTTAGTTTTTCTGTGAAGAAATTCTCCTTAGCAGTCCAAAGTCCGGAGGTTGCAAGTTGCTCCACCCCCTACCTCGCAAAGCACGTAAATCCGTTGGTCCCGCGACTGATCTTTCTCCGGTCGAGTCGGTTTACCGTCCTATCAGACTATGAGAGTGAGAGACTAGAGACTGCACCTGTGCTTACGCATACACTTGGGTATAATCCTGCGCAGATGGCTAGTCTTCGTTAAGGCTGGTCACCGTGACCGAAATTCGGTCTTGAGGACATTATTATTGTTAGGAAGACCTGGAAGACGCTGCGTCTTCTGGTTTGTTTCCCTCTGTCGCCTCTTACGACACACACGGGACGGTATAGGATAATTCTTACAACACCACTATACAGACACGCTCAGCTTGATCGGTGTGCAATCCAATTATTAAATAAAACTTCAAAATTATTTTACCATTTCACGTATATTTCATTACGACTTTTTATAATTACAATAAATAGTTACCGCAGGATACAGAGGTACAGACGAACTTTGAGAATATTTACGATGCTCCATTGGCCTCTATAGTGATGCATACTAAAGATTAAATATGTTGGTGCGCGTTCCAGCACATGAGCTTATCTTAATTATAAATACAAAACAATAAATAAGACAGTAACAGTTTATATAGAAAAGTACAATTATAATATTTACCTGTGGACACTATTTTTAATGCTGATCACTCACATGTGAACATGTAGGTACAGGCGTATGTCAAAACGTATACGTTTTTAAAATATTAGAAATGCTATTAGCATAACTAATATTCCCTAAAACCACCCCAAGTAAGCTTAAAATGCTTGTATTAGTCGTTCACGACAATAGTCGAATGATAGATTAGAATCCACGATCTTTGAGTTTGCGGTACGCACTCTACAATAAGGGTACTGCCGCTTAAATGAAATATACGTATGTAATTAAGACATCCCACACGTTTAGCTTGCATAACAAAAATTAATAAAGAAAATTGTTGTATTAAGGAAATTAATGCATTATGTTGTAATTATTAGCTTGCGCTTGCCGCAATTTAATATTAACGAGCATACTATTTACGATTGCGTGCGTAGGTGAAAACTATACTGTTGTTTGTGTACTGCTCCAGCTGGAGAGGCTCATGTGAAGCAGTGAACTTTATGGGTGGATAAAGAAGAAAGAAGATTATTTAAGGCGAGATTTTCCTACTTTAAAAGGCTTTTAGCACTCCCTTCTCCGCTGCATGCATATTTGCCCAGCATGAAGTAAGCGTGCGACATTCGGTGGACAAAAATTAATTTATTGGAAACGTATTTGCTTATTACCAGGAAAGAAACTAAATAAAAATTAGGCTTGGGTAAAAAAAAAAAGTAAAGTATAGAGATATCGAAATATCGATATTTTCTAACAAAATTATCGAAATTTACCGTAGATATTTTAATCGTGATATATCGATATTCGATATTTATTTCATATTATCAAATTTGTATCAATATCGATATATTTAAAAAAAATATTAATAATGTAATAAGATAAAAATAGACGGCTCTGTGGCGCAGTGGCTTAGCAATGAGTTACAACGCTGGGGGCTGCGGGTTCGAATCCCGCACGGAACAAGTATTTGTATGGTCTACAAATAATTGTTCCGGATCTGGATGTTTGTCCTTGTGAAATTTATGTTAGTAAAATGCCTCTACGATACAGGAGCAAATCCTAGTGTGAAGGTAACGTTTTTTTAAGAAAAATAAAAAAAATGTAATAGACAGTGTAATTTATCATACAAAACAACTAAGCAACTACAAAACCATTCATATGCTGTTGTTTTGTCGATACTGTTTAAAAATATCGATACGATAAATATCTATAATATTTTTTTCACTTACCCATCCCTAATAGAAATGTAGTCGATTAAGAATCTAATTCAATAACATGCCTATCGTATTATCGACAAATATTATACGAATATCATTAATAAAACGAGAATTTGAAGGTCCAAATTTTTTCCTGGCGATTCAGTTATTTTTTTTTGTCTCGATTAATATAAAGTATTTTAAAAATATATTCGATTTAAAATTTAGTTCTGAGCATATACGATTTCAAGAAGTAAATAGTCGCGACAAAATCGTGTCTAAGATATGATTTTTTTTTAAGTAACTCATGTGCTTGGAACTCTATATATTGCTAATGTAAATGTTACAGGAAAAGCTAAAACATGAGGATTGTCAGTAATTTCAATGTTTACAGTGATAAGAAGAATTACATTCATACACCTTGATATAACTACAATACAAAGATTATCTACGTGAATACGACACACTATCTACAACATTGACTGATAATGTGACTCACAAAGCCCACTGAGATCCCACTTACACCATAAATTTACAACAATTTAGCGAATAAAAAAATAACTATGCTATATTATAACTTATGTACTGAATATGATAGATCCTTCGAACCAGATGTACAGATGAAAGATTGACATAGTTCATTCTAATACTCATTAGGTTTCTATATTCTTTACAAATTACATACAAATTTATCCAACGCCAACGAATATGCAGACCAAAACGCAGCACACATAAAAAATATCTAAAGAAAGACTTCTCATGGGATTACAAATGCAGTGTTGACTGGACGTAACATTAATATATCTAAATACAACTATTATTTTCAATAATGATATAGTAATTCCAATTGTTTAAATTTTATTTTATTTTTTTCATTGATTTTGGCATTGGCTACATTGACCTTATGTATAAACATCCATATCCAATTTAAAAATATATCAATTAATTTCACTACAATAAGTAGATGCGTCACGTCATGAAGACATTGGTAAATTTTGGCGACAACTTAACCTAGCAGACAATCGACGACGATAGTATCTCAAGTTGCTTCAGCACACAAAACTTGAGTTTCATATCACCATCGAAGCACAAGTTCCATAATTTCCATTAATAGATTACATGCTCAGATATTCAATACACAAAATTGCACCAGTTACGTATCAAAGTCCACTTCAAACTATAATTAAACACGAATACAAAAGCAGCAGTCTGTCTGAGGTCAAGTTCCCGCCATAAGTTTCTTGTTTCATCATTAACTTTATTGTAGAAGTCTCTCTCCTTAAATAAACAACTTTATAATGATTATTAGGCACATATGTTTAAATACATACGTATACAGTCGACTTAGTGTACTCAAAAGTTCTAATTCACATTTTACAATATCAGGTTTACTATATTTTAAATTTATATATACGATTACATGCATAATATAATTATACTAATGTCGACGAAAATAACTCGCCGCCTTATTATGAAATGTATTTATAGCATGACTTTAAGTGATTCTCCGTGGACCTCAGACGAACAAATAAAAAACTGCATTCAACTTATTAAGACGCACTCACGTACACATATGCATTTAAAATCATTTGCAACTAACATGACCTTAGGTGCCACCACAAGTGTGCATGAGTGCGTGTCAAGAAGTTGAACATGGTTTTTCAGCACTCAGTCTATGTTTTTTTTTTGGTGTGATCTGTGGACATTAAAAAATTAATTTAAACCAAAGACATCCATGTGTATTACTAGATCGGTAATTCATAACAAAAACTATGTCACAGCTGCGCATCGCGCGGACGCGGGCACGGGCGTTTAACTAGCACGGTGGATATGTCACGCAGTTGTATTTTCATTTACGAGAGTTACTGTTTTAAGGCAAATACAAAATAAACTTACATACTTATCTGAAATTAACTTCAAATAAAACAAAGTGCGCACATAAATGATGACAGCGTTTTCTTAGTCACATTAAATAAAATTTTAGATTGTCGAAAGCAACGTTCGCGGTTAACAAAACAAAGAACTAGTCTTCTCGCCCGCTCACAGTCGACTAAAGAAGTTACGGAGAATTGACTGTAACTTAGTTATTTAAATATTTACAGCACTAGAAATATACGTAATATTCACGTAAAAAAATAACACGCGACTCTACGGTCGTGTCGAAAAAAAAATTATCTATGGCAAATTGTACTTATTTATCACCATCGACTGGGTCATGTAAGATTAAAAAGGCGATTGTATTTAACGTGATTCTTTGGTAAACCAAACATAACCCAGAATTAAAATTGAGACTATAAATACGTTAATGAATCCTTACAAAAAAAAATTCAAAGAACAAATGGCCATACAACTTGTACTCAGGCTAAGCTGTGTTAAAAATAAATTTAAAAAAAAAGATACAAATTTGTAGTAAATAATACGTGGAAATGGAGTAAGGATTATTTAAATATATATTTTTATCTCAGTCAAAGAAAGACGAAACCCTGCGTGCATTGTAAGTTATGTAAAAACCAAGTTAAAACCATACTCAACTTATACGAAGAACACGCACACATCAAAACAAGTGAACGGGGTGATAATGAACGAAAAAAGAAAGATGTCTGTCACACACACAAACATCTTTCTTCTTTCGTTCAGTGCGTCAAAAGTGAGCATGGTTTCGACGTCTTTTGTACATCTACGCACGCTTCATCTATCTTTCTTTGTAGGTCGTAGACTTTTATATAAGAAACATATTTATAGTCTCACAATACACCCTAAATAATAGCATACATTGCTAATCGAAAAATAATATATTAAACTATATTATAGGAAACGACTGAGTATTATCTGTCCCACAACAGTAGTCCTAGTTTTCCACTCTGCGTTTAAAAACTATAAATAAATTAATGGAACATATGATTGGTTGATTTTCAACTCTTAGTGCCATTTTTCGATGCAACTTACTATACATAACGACGAAAAAATAATTTATGAATTTAAAATTACAGCACTCTTATAAAATGAGATGACGCAAAAACTGCCTAAATAAATTAGGGGCTTTTTTCAAATTTATTCGTAGACAAAAAAGCTTTTGTTATCATCAGTCCCGCTTTTCGATTCTTATCTTTATTCACTGCAAAATACAGTTGTTTTTCCTTTGTATCTCCACATTTGATAAGTTTCTTTCAATTTCATCGTCCTCTGCTATCCTGTATATAAAACATACACTTTTAGTATATTATTGAATGTATACCAGAGTAAAATAGCATCTTAACACTGCTGTGTTCCGTATGGTGAGTGTAGAGAACCAGAGATCTTTTTTACTATAAACGAGGCATCGCGTCTACACTTTGATTCTAAATCGAGAATAGATGTACATGTATGGGCTGCAGCATCCACTTACCATCAGGTTAGCTGTGTGCTCGCTTTCTAATATCTACTATCTACTTATTTTATATTCCCGACGTTTCGAAACCACTCTAAACCTTGCTTTTAGCGGAAAAAAATTAAATTCAATTAATATTTAAAGGCAGACTTCGAATATTATAGGTGTAATAAAGTTAAGTGAAATTATTACAAAAATAAGTGTAAGTTCAAATTTAATTTGAGAACACTTACGCTTTCTCTTGTTCGTCCATCTCTTGTACAAGCCTGTCCCTTTCGTTCACCGCTGATAACAACTCCTGTAAACAGAAACCCAAATGGTAGTTACAATTTAGAATTGAACGTAGTTTTGATTTATTCTGCTACACTACAATTTAATATTTTAATATTATTTAATAAGGGTTTTGATAATTTGTAATTTTAAATGAAACTAATTTTTACGGATTATATCGCGTTTAATTTAAACTTTTTTATTTCCCGACATTTCGGGTGCTTTACAGCACCCATGGTCACGGGGGGGACGAAGATGTATGATGTCCCGATATCATAGTTAGCCCGGCCATCTTCAGTTTTTTAATATTAATTTTTGGTTCGATTTACGCAGAATGAGCTTACAGTATCTTGAAGTCTTGTTCTTGGAGTTAGAGGCAAACAATTCTTTAGCTTTCCCAGATGTTTTATGCCCGGTTTCTGAAGTTCCTAGTTATCTTCCCGTTAGCTATTGATTCAATAAAGTTATCTATAGGATAAACGTCGGTTAACTGTCACTGCGTTTCTGAATACGCAACGAATCGTTCAACAACTATGAAACCATTAACAAGTACCATAATTTGCCGCTAGATGGGTCTGTTTAGGACATCGAGTCTAAAATTGATTTTTTTAATTTCAATTCTTCATTTATACTAGTATTATTTATAAAATATATTTTTGAGGCTAAATAAGAGGATATGCACTGTTTTAGTAATAAAATATGATAATTCCATATTTATCAGAAACTGTATGAATGACGTCATTGTATTGTCAAATTGTTAAAAAAGAAAACATCAAACTCATTGCTTTTATTCGATTGTGGATTTATTTTTCATAATTTTCTGATTTTAAGTTTAGTGGTATTTACTATCGTTTCAAATCAAATCAAATCAAATCATTTATTTCGCTAAAAACATGGGTACAGACGGATGGATACAGAGTCAATATTTGTTTCCACATATTTTGCCATTCGTGGCATGCGAAAAAAATTTTTTTTAAAATATAAATGTGTTCAGAACAAATGAACTAACATTAGAAATATACAAATAATATTCAAGTATGTAACTACCACTTGTAATGATTACATTTCTTTTTAGAAGAACATAACAAAATTCGTTTTCGCATTATCCAAAACATAATGGAATCTGGAAGACGTAGTAAAAAATTGTCTGAAAGAGAGAAGAGTACTCGTATTCATTGCACTTATATTAATAATTATTTTATCTCTTGAATATTTTAGTGTTTAGCGCCCACTGGCAATTTATTTTAATAATAACACGTTATAACCTAAAAGTTGATGTATTTTGCTTGAAATTAAACGTCAAATAAAGTTATAGAACCGATAAACGGCACATATTGGCCAGTTAAATTAAACTTAGCTTAAACGGAGTTTATCTAACATTGGAATGTTCGGAAACGCATTTTCACAAGTTATCGAACCAATAGCGCTAACGAATAGATAAACTGCCGATAAAAGTACCTCAGAAACCGACCATTAGTCATCCGAAATCCTGATAACACTATTGGTCATACTGTGTACAGGGAAAAGACCCATACCAACCGATATTTAAATGGATCGCACCATCATACTTCACAGTTAATGTCAAAGGAGTCACAGACAAGGTTGGCTACATCTTGAAGCGAGCTTCCATTAAAACATACTTCAAGCCGCCGAAGAAGATTGGTAAATTTTTACCATCCGTCAAGTGTTTCCCTATACAAGATGCAGGAGTGTACAAGCTGGATTGTGAATGTGGTCTCTCTTACATAGGACAAACAAAAAGGTCTATAAAAACCCGCGTTAAAGAACATATAGCTGACGTGAAGCACCGACGTATCAGGAAGTCTGCAGTTTGTGAACATGTTCAAGATCGTCCCCGCCTTTACATTAGATTTGATAGACCACAAATCCTTGCAAAAGAACACCGATCCCTACCAAGGATGATTCGCGAGCCTATTGAAATTAACAAAACATCCTAATTTGAATAGAGAAGATGGATGGGTGCAGCCATCTGCTTGGGATCCTATAATTAATAAAATTAAATCCAAACCCAAGTATACCACTGCTCAAGATACTGTAAGCTCATTCTGCGTAAATCGAACCAAAAGTTAATATTAAAAAACTGAAGGTAGCCGGGCTAACTATAACATCGGGACGTCAAACACCTCAGTCCACCCCGTGACCATGAGTGCTGTAAAGCACCCTAAACGTCGGGAATTAAAAAAGTTAAAATTAAACGCGATATAATCCGTAAAAATTAGTTTCGTTTAATGTGTAGTCCTCGCGTAAATATAAGAAAAAATTTGTAGTTTTATAAAAACGACGTTTTGGTGACGCAGTGGATTAACAATGAGTTGCGTCGCCAAAACACTGCGGGTCGAATCGCGCACGGAACAAGTATCTGTATGGAATACAAATAATTGTTCCGGGTCTGTATGTTTGTCCTTGTACAATATATGTAAGTAAACTGCCTCCATGACACAGGAGTAAATCCTAGTATGGGGATAATGTTTTAAAAAAAAGTCCACTAGGCCTCCCTCAAAGCTTGCCTCATAGGGTAGTTGCCACGCTTGGCAGGTGGCTTGGCAACCACAGTTTTTTTTATATTTAGTCGTTGTTAGGAAGACGCTGGCGCCCATCTCCTGATTTTTTTCCTTGTGTCGCCTGGTACGACACCCACGGAACGATATGGGGTATATACACCGCCACTGCGCTGTCGTTTGTTATTACATTTTTATACAATAATCCACCAGTTCCTAGGTGTGAGGAGTTGTTGGCAACTCACCTGCAGCAGCAATCTCTCGCGCCTTTTTTGTCCAGGAGTCTTGCGCCACTCGTCCACTCCGAGGGACAGCCTCAACTCCCTCGCCAATAACTCGCATCGTCTGCTGAGATCCTCTTCTTGCTCGCTGTAAAAAGAAAGCAAAACGTAAAAATCGTAGTCAGCACAATTAATTACTTACTAAATTCTATTCGGAGAATGAGTTCATAAAAAAGCTGCAATTTGTTACGAGTTTGGGAACCGTCCCAAACTCGTAACAAATTGTGGCCCGCTAATTAATTTTACTGATAGACAATAAAAAAGCAGGATATCTAAACTATTTTTACATCTTTAACGAAATAACACCTTAAGTATATAGATCACAAAGGTATTTTTTCTAAGCCACGTCAAACAAAATCACAGGATGATGGGGATGATACATTGTAATAATACTTACAGTATATTGAGCTGCATCTGTCGCCGCAGCAACGCATTCTTCTTATTCACCAGATGGAACCATTGCGACATCAGTCTGTCTTCTTCCTGCACGTGTATTATTTAGGTTTAGAATTTGAAAAAAATATATATTATTCATGGGTAAGAAAACAAAGATAAGCACAGAGTAGGGCGACCCCGCACTAGATGGAGTGAAAACCTGGTAAGAAATGTAAGAAGTCTGCTACCCTGTTTTGTGGTATTACTTGAGGCAGACCTATGTTTAGCAGTGGACTTGAGAGAATTCGTGGCAATTATGATAATATAAATTGTATAATTTTGAAACAACACATATTTAAAAGCTGTATCAGGTGTAATTCTAAACACTTAATATTTTTTTATATAGAATAAGAGTGACAAACCAGCCATCTGATGGTAAGTGAATGCTGTGGCCCATAGACATCTACATTTATCCCCAATTAAGAATAAATACAGATGTGTTGCCACCCCTGAGAACTAAGACGGTATTAATCTAAAATTGAGAAGCAAATTACGCATCTTTCAAAATTTCTTTGAATGGAAATTACACAATTACACAAGAACTATATATTTCAGATCATCCTCACAATAAACAATATACATGACACTCGTATAGATTAAGAATAACATCGGACCACAAACTACGACCCCGTGGTACACCTTATAAGTGGCGGTCTCATATAAACGACGGTCGGAAATAAATGAGCTGTACAACGTCCAACTTACACTTAAAATTATAGCAAAAAAAAAAAGGAAATACGGAACAAAGGAGGTACCGGATTGTAAGGGACTCGGGAACAGGACAGGAATATTTTCTTCCATTTCACCTGCAAATATGAAGTTATGTTAGAGAATTAAAGTTTAAAACTAACTTTTTTATAGTTGCGACACGAATGGGTCGGCTCGACCGGGAAAGGCTCACAGAATACCAGCGTAAAACAGCAGCTTAATACTGCTGTGTTGCGTATGGTGAGTGCAGAGAAATGGAGACCCTTTTACTGAAAACATCGTTATTTTGAGTCTCAATCGAAGACAAATGTAGATGTAGCGCCACAGCATCCACTTACCCTCAGGTGGACTATGTGCTCGTTTGTCACCAATATTCTATAAAAAAGTTATAAATGTTATTGAAAGGCAATTCTCAGCTGTGGAATTCAGTCTCACCTCGGTGTTGTCTGCAGACTCCATGACGCGTCGCAGCTGCTTCTCGAGGGCGGCCGCCTTCTCGTCGACAGCACTCTGTTCCTTCTCCAGCGCTTCCAGCTCACTAGCGATGTAAGAGCCTGTTTCTTTGCCCTAAAGTACAACGATATATTTATTTATGTAAATTATTTCGTTTTATCACCCATCATGAATTAAATATTCTGATATTTTGATAATTTTTAAATTTTTAAGGAGTTCCGTGTGAACTCGTGCTTGCGCATTCACTCGGGCACTATAATCGTGGCCGAAATTCGGTATTTTATTATAATTGCCACGCATAAAAAACTGCCCTTAACAACCTGCTTGATATTGGCAACTGCAGTTTTTAGTATTTTCGGTTATTACTACTCTCGTAGTCTGGTGGTGTCACAATCACTTCGACTTAAAGTGATAGAGACAGCACGAGATTTAACGGCATCTTGAAATTGAGCTGCATTTGAGTATTCGGGCATGTTCTTTTTTATCAGTCAGTCCAGTGAGGATGAGGGTCAGTACCTCATCAGCAGCAGTTCCATCAGGCGCCAGGCGGTCAACAAGCGCGGAGAATGAGTGAAGTGGCGATCGACGGGAACCCTCGTTGGGCGAAGTGCTTCTTACACTGCGTGTGTCACTTTGTCTCTCCTCTGCAACATGATTACATTAATATGTACCGTTACCGTTATTAATTTAACTAATAAAACTAAATATTATATTTTTAAAAAAATTTTGTTTCAACAAAAAAAAATCGCCTTAATAACTCACCAGATCGATCCACACTCCCAAAACTCCTGGAACCGGGACTCGGAGGGGAGTCTGCTCGGGACATCGCTTCTAATTGTTCCATGCCGCCCGCTACAAAATATTACACCAATCACCAATAGATAGATTATTTTATTTATTTAGGATTATCTATAATTCCTTTTTAAGCATGTTACGCAAACGGAGGAGTGTGAGATTCGGAATAGTTAAATTTTATAAGAAGATGGAGTGCAGAAAGTTAAAATGTATATACATATAATATGTGCTAAATAAGCATTAAATTAAATTAAATAAAACGTCAATTGACGTTGACGGTCATACCGCCAATATTTCAGAGTAATTACTATGTGTTTTTTTTATAGGAATAGGGTGACAAACGAGCACACAGTCCACTTGATGGTAAGTGGTTGCTGTCACCCATAGACATCTACATTTATCCTCGTTTGCGAATCAAAATGCAGATGCGTTGTCACCCGTGAGGACTAAGTTGGAATGCCTCTTTTCCAGTAAAAAGGGTCTCAGGTTCTCTACACTCACCATACGAAACACATCAGTGTTAAGCTGCTATTTTACGCTAGTATTCTGTGAGAGCGTGGTCCTTCCCCGGTCGAGTCGACCCTTTCGTGCTACAACTATACTACTAATATAGCTGCAGCATGGCTCTACCACGTAAAAAATTATCTTAATTCGTCTGGTCAACGTGGTGTTTACGGCAAATCAGAGAGGACTACTATGAAAGGTCCATGTTCAGCCGTGGACTGTTACAGACTGAAGTATAACTTACCATTTCATAATTAATTATTTGTTCGTTTTTGGTTTAAAAAACTTAATCAGGTATTCATTATGCATTTAAGTGTCGAAGGAAATTGGTTTAGTAACATTATCATAATTTCTCCTGGAGATATTTGCGGTGAAAAAGTTCAATAACATACGGCCGTACACGCACGCACGCACGCACGTGCGCACACACTCAGATATACCTTAACTTTTATAGACAGTAGAATCGGAACTCTATAGACCGCAACCCTGGAGATATTCAAATAACGGACCTGTTTCAAAAACTGTTTTTTATAAAACTGAAGTGACAAACAAACTTACAATCCACCTGATGCCTGTAACCAACTTCAAATAAAGAAAGCTACAGATTTGTCGCCTCTAAGAACTATTATAGAATTCCTCACAGCCTGTAATTCTCTAATTAAATAATTGTGTACTGGCTCTCCATACCCTACACACGGGAACACACCAATGCACGCACTAACACGCACCCACCCAGACGAACTTTTAGACAATAAAGGGAATCGTGACACTTTGCAATTACAGCCCTTCACGAGTCCACTGCTGAACATAGCCCTTCCCCAAGGTATGCCACAAAACACGGTCCTGAGCCACCTGCGTCCATCGACTTCCTGCATGTCTTACCAAGTCGTCACTCCATCTAGTGGGAGGCCGCCCCACACATCGCCTACCGGTACATGGCTGCCACTCGAGAACCTTTCTTCCACATCGGTTGTCGGTTCTTCGAGCTATATGGCCGGCACATTGCCACTTCAGTTTACTAATCCGTTGTGATATGTCGGTTACTCTGGTTCTACTGTATATACCCTCATTTATATCACGCAGAGAAACCCCGAGCATAGCCCTCTCCATAGCTCGCTGATCAACTTTGGGCTTCCCCATAAGGCCAGCAGTAAAGGACCACGTCTCAGATCCATTTGTCCTACCACCTATAACTTACGAATGGAAGGTAATAGAAGTGAAATTTCAAGCATCCTACCGTTGCTATGTCCTCACCTGCAGCCAGTTCCTCCATGACGGACTGCTTGCTGATGATCTCCACAGTTCCACGGTTGCGGGAAGGTGACAGCGGGGACGTCGGACTGAGGATGCCAAATTATTACATTCCTTACTAGAATGCGACCGTGTAGTGGCGGTGTAAGAATATCCACTACTATCTATATCATCCCACGGGAATCGTAAGAGGCGACAGAGGGAAATGGAAACAGGAGATAGACAGCAGCATCTTAACGATAATTTAACAGTGGTAGAGCCACGCGGCAGCTTTTGCTGTCACACGAATGGGCCGGCTCGAACCGGGGTGGTACCACGACCTCACAGAAAACCAGCTTGAATTAGAGGTTTACATCTGCGTTTCGCTTGGTCCATCTTAGTCCTCACGGGTGACAACGCATCTACATTTTGATTTGTAACAGAGGATAGATGTAGATGTCTATGGGCCGCAGCAACAACTTACCATCAGGTGGACTGTGTGCTCGTTTATCACCCTAATCCTATAAAAAAAAATCTGCTGTTGCCAACGCGCTTGGTCATCATGGCAATAGACCCCCCCAGCACCCCCGCTATGAGGTAAACTATGGGGGAGGCCTTTGTACGGCAATAGCCTTTTATAGGCTTTACTGGTGCTGAAGTGTTAGAATAACCTCAATAATAATTTCTTAAATTTTGCGTATATACTACAACTTAAATTAACTTTACCAATTTAATCCGATTTAATTTGACTTACTTCAATAATCTTTGTGTCGCTTTCACCGCCACTACACGGTAACATAAATATATATACATATAAATCAAGCGATATACCTCACTATGCCAGCTCGTGCGTCGGCTATCAGCTTTCTCGCTCGCTCGCGTAGCATCGCTTGTCTCTCTTCCTCTGTCATGGGCTAGAAATTGCAATATATGAATAAATAGCCATAAATATACATTTATTTGAAAAAATCAAACAAGCCTACTTATACAGGCGTACGTGCGTGCGCGTAATGTGTGAATAGTTCGTAATGCAGTTCTTAATGCGTAATGTTCTTTACGTGGTAGAGCCATGCTGCAGCTATATTAATAGTATAGTTGTAGCATGAATGGGTCGGCTCGACCGGGGAAGGACCACGCTCTCACAGAATATCAGCGTAAAATAGCAGCTTAACACTGCTGAGTTTCGTATGATGAGTGTAGAGAACCGGAGACCCACTTTACTGGACAAGAGGCATTCCATCTTAGTCCTCACGGGTGACAACGCATCTGCATTTTGATTCTTTATTGAGGATAAATGTAGATGTCTATGGGTCACAGCAAACACTTACCATCAGGTGGACTGTGTGCTCGTTTGTCACCCTATCCTATAAAAAAGTGTGCTTCTTTGACACTCTTACTTGTATGAAATACCTACATTACTCATCAGCATGATCATTATCATTACAGCCCTTCACAAGCCCACTGCTGAACATAGGCATTCCCAAGGAATGCCACAAAGCGCACTGCTCTGCATTCATCAACTTCCAGCATCTTTTAAGAGCTTGTCACTCTATCTAGTGGGGAGGCCGCTTTACACTTCGCTTACCGGTACGAAGTAGCCACATGGCCACACGTTACTCATAAAGAAAGAAAAAAGACCACAACGGATGATCGTAATCGTCATTAAATTATCACAAATAAATGACAGCAGACAACAAAATACAACAAAATTTATAATACATAATGAACTACACAACCCAAAATCTGCTCCTTACCTTTTTACTGGGACTTGTCTCGCCATTCCTTAGCCCATTTAAGGCTTCAGTCTTATTTCCCTCCTCCTTCTCTTTCGAGTTCTGCCTTCTATTCCTTTCCTTTTCTCTTGCCTCGCGTTTAGTGGCTTCTAGCAACTGTCTCGCTCTCTCTTTAAGCTCATCATGGCGCGACAACAGTTGCTGTGGCGTCGAACAATCACAAGACAAAACAGACGCCGCATCGACCAATCACACCGAAGCGTTCAATCCAGAGCCAATCACAATGAAGCAGTCAGTCACACAAACGGACCAATGGCAAACGCAGTCGCAATAGATCGGCCAATTTTTTTTTCACGCACAGGCATTTCAAAGCGATGTCGATGATGGCGGGGATGAAAGCAAATGAAAAAATTACGTGAGGTAATTATTTATGTTAGTAATTCTATTGAATAAAACTACTTTTACAGATTTTATCGCGTTTAATTAACTTATTTTATATTGCTTTCCAGCAACCATGGTCACGGGGGACTGAGGTGATTGATTGATTAGTTTTGGTCCGATAATTTAAGAAATTATCGGACCAAATTCGATAGTTAAAAAAGCTGAAGGTACTCCGGGTTAACTTTGACATCGGGACGTCAATAACCTCAGTCCCCCGTGACCATGGTTGCTGGAAAGTATCCGAAACGTCCGGAATATAAAATAAGTTAATTAAACGCCATAAAATCCGTAAAAGTAGTTTTATTCAATGTGTAGTGTTCCCGTAAATATAAGAAATCGTTAGTAATTCTATTTATGATTTTTTTTACATCAAACTTTTAAACATTTAAAGTAAAAAAATATAAACATAAGTTATCACTGAACATTAACCTCTTATGTACGATTAAATTTCATAAAAAAAAAAAGATATAAAATACATCATCATAATATAGTAAAAATGAGAAAAGCAGCCAACTTGAGATAGTTGGCAGAAGATCCTCGCAATAGCAAATGTAATCCCGCATTGTAATATTAAACCTTAAAAAGTCTACAATTTGTTATGAATTCCAACTTTCTAGTCATAAAATAAAAAATAAATTATAACGCTCACTATTAAACATAAAACTTAATATATAATATACTAAACGCACTTGATCCTATGTTTTATTGTTAAATAGTTAGATTCACTTAGTTTCTAAATGAAAATTTTAAAAGATACATGCTGTTCTGTGACACTTGAAAGCGTTTTTTTTTTTTTTAGTTTATTTTAATGTGCTGTATTTAAGGCGATACCCCGACCAAAACCTTCCGATAATGCGTTTTTCTTCGTTATTCAGAGACTATTATCTCATTAGTTATGAGAAATAAACTACATCTAAAAGCACATTATTAATGTTCGATATCCTATCATCACATACCACGTTCTAATTTGTTTTTATGTGTTATAAATACAATTAAAATCTACTTTTAAAAAATGACTAAAATTATTGATTACATGCATGTGTTGCTAAAGACAACGCTCTAATCATTTGAAGATTACACTAATGGATAGATAATTTAAAAATCTATATTGTTCACGTTTTATTTAATTTTTAAAGTTCGCTTTTCTTTTTTAATTAAAATTATTTCCAAAAATTGTGTAAATTCTATAATAAATGGGCGCACGCAAAGTACGGGCGGCAGTGCACTGCATACTCAAGATTATTTGGTCAGGGAAACGCCTTAACGAACTGAACCAGAAACCAGGTACACGTTTGTCGCTTTAAAAAAAGTTAGCTGTCTTATTTATGAATAGAATACAATATATTAAAATAGAAGCGAATAATTTTTTATTCAACATATATTACAAGTAATTCTTAATGAAAGTCATATTTTATTTTTACTACTAGTTTGGAAAACCCTCTGTTCTGAAAAAAACCAGCAAGAAACCCAGCGGGATTAGCTTTTCAAAGTGAAATAAAACCACAGGTTGTACAAACTACTTGCAAAAGTTATTTAAGAAACAGCTTGGAAACGACAACAACGTTATTGAATATTATAAAGAACAATGGCCACTCTCCTAAGGTTCAATTTACATTACGGCGGAATGGAATGCAAGTGTAGCGTCAATTTCGTCTCGTCGCGCAGGAAGGCGCACGAATTCGCGGTAATGTTCGAGCATTCCCGATAATATCCGAAAAAGAAATATTTGGGTTCATGATTTTTGGAAGAAATGAAAACGGCACCCTTCGCCTCCATTCCCGCGGATTCCACAGACTGCGCCGACAGTCACAACAGTCGATAATGCGCGAGAATTCCACGGAAGATGAGCGACTTATTTTTTGGCTCATATCTAGTTTACACGTTACACAATTAACATAAAATTCATTTTACTATGTATGATTTCGTTACAAAAATTCGCTTCCATTCCGTTAATGTAAATTGAGTCTAACATACTTGGTCTAGTCAAATCTAATAGGCAACGTAACTCGATGAAAAATATTATGACAGTGTAGTATATTGTAGCATTTTAAATGAAAGGTTTTTCTTGAAAATCTGACGGAGTTTTGGCGGGAACTTGACCGGCGGCGGATTTCTGCTTCTGTATTATTGTTTAAATAAAGGTTTGAAGTGGATTTAGATATAAGTGGAGATTTTTTTTATTTAATGGCTGGGCATGTGAATTATTGGTGGAAACAAGTGCTCCGATGGTGATGTGAATCGCAAGTAGCCGTCAACATATCTCAAAAACAACGCAATGTGACACCATCAACATAATATTGTGAAGCAGTATCCTATAAATGATTATTATCACTTGATACTGAGATAAAGGAAAACATGGCTTAAAGGACAAGTATCCAAGCGAAAAATCTTAATATAAAAAGGTTTTTTTAGTACAATAATTAACATAATTTGTATACGCCATTGTCTAGAATTCAATTTCTATTCATAAACAAAATCTATTTAGACTTTAGAAAAAGTATGGATAAAACGTAGTGATTCTATCACAGAATACTTTTTATTAGATTATATACTTTTTAGTACACATGGACTTCTTTTTGGTAAAACGTAGTTATATATCTTTGTTTAGAAACGTAAACAATTATGGATGAATTAAATATGATATTTATTAATAAGGCGTTCTGATAGCAAAATTCATTCTCTCTCTCTCTCTCTCTCTCTCTCAAAAAGATATTTCCTCAGTTTTTAAAAATAAACTGATGATATCCATTAATTAAACTGACAAAGTTCTACATTTTGGCGACAGTCTTATGTCGGTAACAATATAGGTTTTTCCTAGTCCAAAATGGCCATTATTCTTTATATTTAAAATACTTTTATGAGTGAACACACGTTTTAGTGAAAATAGTTTTTCTCTATTTATACAGATACCTACATATGGTTTCTATCGTAGCACTTCGTCAGATTGATATAGTTATATATTCACCTCAAAAAAATTATATAATCATTTCAAAAATCAATAAATTAATACTTTTAATTATTATGAAATAAACTCAAAACCAAAATCAAAACTGGAATTATTTTAAATGGAATCCACAAATGAAAACATCATATCTGACAACACAACACAAAGAGCAAGGAAATTGTAAAGTCAAACTCACCGGTGTCGGTTTTGGCAGGTCCGGTGCCGGGAACTGAGGTTGGGTTTGAGGCTGAGGTTGCACTTGTGACTGGGGCTGAGGCTGGGAAGGAATTTGTGGCTGGGGTTGCGGTTGGGGTTGAGGTTGAGGTTGGGTCTGGGGCTGGGACTGGGTATAAGGTTGTTGTTGTGGGCAGTTCTCCGGCTGAATGTTTGCTGTCAGCGGATCCGTTACGGCTGGTTCTATCGTTGGTTTGAAATCTATTTTAGCTGCAATTATAAATTTATACGTGGTAGAACCATGCTGTAGCAATATTAATAGTATAGTTGTAGCACAAATGGGTCGGTCGACCGGGGAAGGACCACGCCCTCACAGAATACCAGCGTAAAATAGCAGCTTAACACTTCTGTGTTTCGTATGGTGAGTGTAGAGAACCAGAGACCCTTTTTACTGGAAAAGAGGCATTCTATCCTAGTCCTCACGGCTGACAACGCATTTGCATTTTAATTCGCAAACTAAGATAGATATAGATGTCTATGGGCCACAGCAACCACTTACCATCAGGTGGACTATGTGTTCGTTTGTCATATTCTATATCCTTATTCTATAAAAAAATTAAAAGAATGGTAAAGTATCTCAGAAGCTAAATAGTTTCCATAAAATTCACAATTGGATAGTTGACACCATCTTTATCCTAATATATGTATGTACATCTTTATATATAAAAAATACGTGTCACGTTTTTTGTCCGCGATGAACTCCAAAACCACTAAACTGATAGCAATGAAATTTTAAACACTGTGTGCAGTTTGGTCCAACTTGAGAGGTAGGATAGTTTTTGAGTGACGCTCAATATTTTTTATTGCGAATTACCGTGTGTTTGTAACTGAACTCGAAACTGAGCTTGATGAAATTTTATGTATGTGATTAAGTTTATTGGAGAATGATTTAGAGTCACAATTAGATCCGGCAGGTGGCGCTGTTGTCGAAATCCAGAAATCACCCGTGCGAAGCCGGAGCGGAGCCCTAGTAATTAATAAATTATAATATGGAGTATATTTTATATCATGACTGGCCTGTTGGTCTAGTGGTTAGTGACCCTGACTGCTACGCCGGAGGTCGTGGGTTCGATTCCCACCCAGGACAAATGTTTGTGTGATGAGCACGATCATTTGTTCTGTGTCTGGGTGTAATTTATCTATAATATTTATGTATTTAGAAATATATAAGTATGTTTATCAGTTGTCTAGTACCCATAACACAAGCTCTGCTTAGCTTGGGACTAGATGGCGTTGTTTGATAGTTGTGGAATATTATTATTATTATTATTATTATTATTTTATATCATGTAAATTTTGGAACACAACTTGGTCAGTTTATTTGAAGTTTTAAGTTATTATAGCCGGCAAAGCGTCTATGGGGATCGAACCCAGGCTCGCGTACTGTGAAATTTACAGCGAGCGCTTCGCCCCTCGAGGCTACACTAGTCTACCACTCAAATCCTTTTTCTCCATCGATTGTCGGTTCTTCGAGCAATATGGCCGATCCATTGCCATTTCAGCTTACTGATCTATAATCTATATTGAAAAAAAAAATTCTAATTCTATACTATTCATTACTCAGAACTAGTCACTTACCAGTGCCATTTGTCGTCTCCTGTGATGGAGGGGCAGGCACTGGTTCCTCCTCTTCATCAGAGCCGAACGGGTCGGTGAGCTCCTTCCTTGTCATTAACTTCTCAGGTCGAGCGGGAATAGGCTGTGGAATAATAAGAGAATTAATCCACGACTTTTCTACCAACAGGGCGCCGCCACTTAGCAATGAGGTAAAATATTTGACAGATTTCATAGGGGCGTGAAGTTAATACGTTAGAAAATTGTAAGAGTTAATGTTTCTATCTGAAATATTAGTTATATTTTATATAATTAGATCATAAACGAATAAACCCAAATTACGGATATTCCTAAAAGTAGAAAAATTAAAAAGGGAGTTGAAAAAATGTGCAAAAATTAAATAGCAAGCTGAGGCCTTGTTTGGTGGATTTACATACTCTGGAAACAGATTAACCTTTTTAAACTCAACTTTGTGTAACTAATAACTTCACCTCAGTCCCAGCTAGCGACATCTGGTGAGCGGAAGATTATTAAACACACATTGAGAATAATCGGTAGGTACATAATTAAGGTTTGGTGGAATAGAAGAATTAGTAGGAATTCTAGATACCCAGGTTTATGGTAATGGCATATTGCCGCCTCTAACGGCACCCGGGGGATGGATATGTATGAATTCTCTTACGCGGTCACTGTCTTTAGCAGTACTGTAACAGAGTAATGACTGTGCCCTTTGGGCCCACCCTAGAAAAAATGTTTGCTACTGCCATGGAGATAAGGTGTGATGAAGACAAGAATAATGAAATGTGGGGGAATCAGGTAATAGCAATAGTTACTACTAAATTACCTCAGCCTTCCTCTTTACATTTTAAGAGTTTTTCCCACTTTCACAAAACGTAGTTAGATTTGTTTCTTTTTTTTATCTCCCGACGCAAAAAGGGGGTTGTTATAACTTTGACCGCTATGTGTGTCTGTCTGTCTGTGCATCTGTCTGTGACACCGTAGCTCTTAAACGGGTGAATCGATATGGGACCGTTTTTTTTTTAAATATAAAGCAAGTTTTCTAGCGGTGGTTCTTAGACATGTTTTATGAAAATTGGTTCAGCCGTTTCAAGGTCATCAACCGTTTTGTTAGCTGCGGTAGGGTCCTTTTTGGGAGTTTTTAAAATTTTTAATTAAATTAAAATAATGAAAACGCTGCTGCCCATCTCCTGTATTATTATTTAAGTTATATTTTTATTTTTGCATTACAAACAGAGTCTATTCCACTTATTGTATATGTATTTTAAATGTATTTTAAAAGTAATGCTATTGCTTCCATTTCGTTATCCAACTACACTAGTGTATGAAAAAGCCCGAGTACTAAGCGTAAGAAAACTTTTTATCTATCAATGCATACGAAGGTACCATCGTATAACTGCACCATGTATCAAAATTCAAAAGAAAAGGACATTCAAATACCCGACCCCTAGAACAAGAAGTATTTTTGCGAAAAGACACTATAGTTACATTGCCCCGCATTTGTACAATAAGTTATACAGGGAATTTAAATTAAACTTAAATAATTACAGTAACCACCAAATAAAGGCAAGGATCAGAGTGTGGTTAGAGAATCTTGATTATGACAGCACAGAAGCACTTATGCCGTAGGTTTACCACAAGCAATACTCACACACATAATATATTCCAACACACACACACACACCCACTCACACTTACACACACATCAACACACGAACAAATACACACACGCACACACACACACACACACACACACACACACACACACACACACACACAAAACAAGCGCTTAAAATAACATTTTTTTTTAAATTTCTTATTTATATTTCTTTACTTGCTAAATAATTAAATTATTATTATTATATAGAAATTGACCTTTTAACAAGGCTAACTTTAAGGGGAGGAACTGGTTCCTGAAACACAGTTATACTAGCTCAGGGACCAGGGAATCAATGAATATATGTAAAAAAGGTTGTTATTAAATAAACTAAATAAAACTAAATAAATAAATAAACTATTCCTTAGCTGCGATTATTTATAATCGCACGTGTTCCTTGCACAAAACTTTTGTTCCTATAATTTTTTTTTATTCTGTTGTAGTTATTACTTGTATTAAGTCGGAATGGGACGAAGTGGTCGCTCAGTGACAAAGTCCTTAAAAAATAATAAATTAAAAAATACAAGGGAGAAAGAAAGAGAAGAGAGAGAAAGAGAGAGAGAGATAGCGATAACTTTTTCTCTCTCTCTTTCTTAAGAGAAAAAGAAATAAAGAAAGAGGAAAAAATCAATTTGGAAAGTTATTAATGCCAATTTAAACCTAAGCCATTTCTATCATAGCAATCTCTATCGCACTCACCTCGGCCACCTTCAGCGGGTCTGTGAACCACTTGGTGTTGGATTCCTTGAGCTTCTGGTCCCTGGCCGGGGACAGCATCTTGCCCAAAATGCTCTTGGACTCCCGCATCAACATATCGCGCACGTCTTTAATAGCGGTCGGCGAGCTACACTTGTCCGGACTCGACCGATCCTGAGAACGGGACTCCGGATCCTGCGATCTGCGTAATTATCAATCATACTTATCAGTATACAAATTTAACTATTAGTGGCATAAAACTGCTTTTACGGGTTTTATCGCTGTTAATTTCTACTAATTTTTAATTCTGTGATATATGTGTCTGTATGTTCTTTTACACAGGAGATATATAAAAACCCACGAAAAAGAGCATATAGCTGATGTGAAACAACATCGCTCCGGGAAGTCTGCAGTTTGTGATCCTAGACTGCCCCCGCCATTACATCAGATTTGATAGACCACAAATCCTCGCGAAAAAACATCGATTCCTACTAAGGATGATTCGCGAGGCTATTGAAATTAAAAAACATCCTAATTTCAATAGAGAAGATGGATGGGTGCCGCCATCTGCTTGGGATCCTTGGGAGACTACTGTAAAAAACAGTCCAATTTCAATAGAGAAGGAGGCTGGGTACTACCACCAGCTTGGGATATTGTAATTAATACAATTAAAACTAAACACAAACATACTACTGCAAGACTTCAATACACAGTAAGTTCATTCTTTGTAGAACGGACCAAAAGTAATAGTAAAAAGCTGAAGTTACTTCGAGTTAACTTTGACATCGGGACGTCATTCACCTCAGTCCCCCGTAAATATGGGTGCTGCAAGACAATCGAAACGTCGTTAATTAAAAATAAGTAGTATTAAACGCGATAAAATCCGTAAAAGTATTTTTTTCATGTGTTCGCGTAAATATAACAAATCATTAACTATTAGTTACCAGTTAGTACAATCAGGTGGACTGTAAGTTATAATGTACATCAGTTTTTAAAAAAAAAGACTTAAACTTATAATCCCATCAAGAACCATCAATTTTTACGATCTATCATCGTTATAATATATAACTTAACATGCAGATAAATTAAGAATAACACCGGACCACAAGCTATGCCCCTGTGGTACACCTCTTAGAACTATCGTTCTGGATCGAAATTAAACGAGTTGTAAGTTTAACTGTAAGAATAAATGGAACACTTGTCGTCATTACACGTTATATTTTATTTTCTCTTATCAACCTACTTATATAATACAACAATCTATCTCGCTTGCACATCATTTTAACTACTTTATTCTATTTTTCTCTTTCGTACCTACATTACTACCATATTTCCGTCCCTTTTCAGATTAACTTTCGTACTTTTTTCCTTACAAAACGTTAATTTTATGTATGGCCGACAAATAATTGTTCCAGATCTGGATGTTTGTACTTGTAACATTTACGTATGTAAACTACCTCCACGATACAGGAGAAAATCAAAGGTAACGTTTTTTAAAGAACAAAAAGAAGAAAGAAGACAAAAGAATGTAACTGACCCGGGTGTGGGTCGGTCGGGACGTATCCTGGAACGCCTGGCGCTGACCTCCCGGCTGAACAGTTCACGCGGGACCTCGCCGTCCGTGTCGTGGCGACCCACTAAGTACGATGACTCGGCTTCGTCGTTGCCTGAAAAGGACAAACAAACTTTTAGGAATGCAAAGGCATTATATTTAAGTATTTTTTTAAATAATCCAAAATCAAAAAAGTGGATAAAAATGTTCAATCATCATTTCTCAAATCCTGTAATTTCTAAAAGAATTTTATAGATGCTGTCTTCTCACATGTCTTTAAAATATTTAATTTCTCAGACACGCAGTTTCTTCTCCTTTAAATTCCAACAGGTGGTGAGAGAAGCTAAAAGAAAAACGAAAACTTAACTTCAAACAACAAGAATAAAATAGTTACACATTCTGTAGTCGAGGCTTTTTATATTCTTCTTACACAATGTCTTCGGACAGACTTCAAAATGTGAATTAATTTTATTCTTTCTAGTTCCTTGAAGTCGCCTTATACATTTTATTAATGAAATTTTTTTTTGTAAACATGACTTTTGGATTTTTTTAATTTTTAGTTTTTCTTATACAGGATAAGGGTGACAAACGAGCACACAGCCCATCTGATGGTAAGTGGTTGATGTGGCCACTAGACATCTACATCTATTCCCGATTACTAATCAAAATGCAGATATGTTATCACCCGTGAGGACTAAGATGGAATGCCTCGTTGCCAGTAAAAATGGTCTCCGGTTCTCTACACTCACCATCAGCAGCGTTAAGCCGCTATTTTACACTGGTATTCTGTGAAAGCGTGGTCGTTCACCGGTCGAGCCAACCCATTCGTGTTACAACTATACCTACTACTAATATAGCTGCAGCATGGCTCTACCACGTAACATAACTAGTATTACTAATTAAAAGTAACTAGCGATCCGCCCCGGCTTCGCACGAATGATCTCTGGATTTCGACAACAGCGCCACCTACCAGGTGCAATTGTGAATCTAAACCATCCATATAACCAACCATCTAAACTCAATCACATATAAAAATTCATCATAATCGGTCCAGCTATTTAGGACGAGTTCAGTCACATACACACGAACAGAAGAATTATTGTTTATGCCCAAAATTGGTCATTTTGAGACGGCACCTAATCACGTTTCGACTTGGAGAATCGGCCGATGGTACCAGGTGTCACGCGTGTGGCGGGGAGGGGGCAGCGGAAGGCGGCTCCCCAGCGTCTTGGCGCCGTCGGGCGAGACAGTAGGTGACAGTAGCTCGCTGGCAGCGGTGCGGTTAATCCGCGTATCTCGGTTATCGCTGCAGAAGTTTCGCGCGACCGGTGTACGGTCTAGATTGCTAGATTTAGTGCGTGTTACTTCGCTACGTAATTGGGGTTTTGTGAAAACCGCCTGGGGTAAGGTTGTCTAGGTTTTAAGTTCTTGACAAGAGGCTTGTATTGTATTTGACTGATTAAAGTAACTTCTTTGAAAGTAAGTGTGCAAATTATATAGTGATTGCGTGTAGAAGTCCATTATACGGTCTAGGATTCGAACCGCGCATTCCTTTTTCGAGGGTGTCTCCCGGGTGATTGTTCTGGAAATAATTGTTTAATTATACCGTCGCGTTAAGAGCCTTTTGTGTGGTGACTCTGTAGTTAATTTGCGTGTCAGCTAGGTTAATTTTGAATTCTTATTGCGGCGTGGTGTTTAGTATCGAACGAAGGAACTTAGTTGTGTTTAACGCTGAACCGTGTGACTCATGAAGAGATCGCGTTAGTTCCCTATTTGTAATTTGGTGATAAATGAATCCGGGACATTGAATGTTGAACTTTGAACTACTGTCCGTTACTGTGTCGGGTATCACGTGTTCTGACAGTGAAATAGTGACAATGAAGAAACTGTCCATGGTGGACGCCTGCTGGAGTGATGCACCATTGTGGGGCAGCATGGAAACCGTCGCGCTGCCAGGTCACCTCAGCTGGGCCAGGTCACCCTCATATGCACACCACTAAACACCACTTTACATGCATATACTCTACCTACGGCCTGACCGAGCCTTGGGGCGGTCTTAGATTCGGATGCAGGTACGTACCATTTATTTTCCTAGCCTTCTCCTCATTTTGTAGTATGATAGGTCATTTTTCCATAAGGCCATTTGGGCCCGTACCCACGGCTGCCCGTCGAAGAGGCTACTATGGGCCCAAGCCAAGGCGACCCTTGCAGGGGCAGCTGAGGGCCGTAACAGTTATATATATAAAGATGTATATGCAAATTACCCAATTGTTCCACTTGTAGCTCGTTGCCGGTGAAATGCGCCCGGAGTTGGAACAGATATGTCATGATCTAGAACACGGAAAACATTACATAATTTTCTCTATTTATCAAACAATGCTTCCAAGTAACAGATGCTTCTAAAAAATTATTTATCATATAGCATAAAAAATACACACATAAATACAATAATAGTATACACAAATAAATATTTTAATTTTGTAACATCTGTTAAAGCTCGTTCTGCATATTGATTCTTAATCGAGGATTTTTTTAAAGAACAAGGGTGACAAACGAGCACACATTCCACCTAATGGTAAATGTACGCTGTGGCCCATAGACATAGTTACAGTATCTTTATATAGGATAGGGTGACAAACGAGCACATACCCAGAAGGCCCATAGACATCTACATACATCTATCCTCGTTTTAAAATTTCTCTCGTTTAAAATTCAGATGCGTTGTCACCCGTGAGGACTAAGATGGAATGCCTCTTTTCCACAGTAAAAAGGGTCGCCAGTTCTATACACTCACCATACGATACACAGCAGTGTTAAGCTGCTATTTTACGTTGGTATTCTGTGAGAGCGTGGTCCCCCGGTCGAGCCGACCCATTCGTGCTACAACTATACTACTAATATAGCTGCAGCATGGCTCTACCACGTAAAATGCATACATATCCATAGATTCAATGAGGTATTGGTCATAGTTGCCACGCTTGGCAGGTGGGTTGGCAACCGTAATTTATTATTATTTTAAGCTTTATTAAGAACATGGCTGCCGCCTATATTATCATTTTTCAGTCTATACCTGTTCAATAATGTTTGTTTTTAATTCTATCTCATGACGCACTACTCTACTAACATAGATTTATATACGTTATAATTATCATGTTAAAAAGTTTTAGAATGATAATTATAATATAAACGAAAACACTAGTTATTTTTCTCTTCAGTTGGTTGTTTTAGTATTAAAATTAAATTAAGTTAATTGTGACAATAAAGCCTTCCTATATCTCAGGCAAAGTGTTATTAGACAATTTACTAGTTATAAAACTTAAGGAATAGAAAAGTTATCGACAGGCATAGCCTATAGGGATAGCGGCCACATACAACAGGCGACTTCTACAAATTAATGGTTCAAACCTCCGAATAAATATTATGAATTTGCTTTTTCCCTTTTTTTATTATTAACTATTGCATTTTTTTGTAATAATACTTCATTTAAAAATCTTGTTTACTAAAGAAAACTACTAACTAGTAGTAAATTTTATGTTTTGTGATATTTCATTTTATTTTTGTAGTTAATGCGTAGCTAATTAGTTAAATTTTTAGTGCTTACATATTTTAGAGTTGGATAATTCGTTTTTTAAATAAAAAAATTAAATTTAAATAGTTTTATGCTTAAAAATATTTAGTTGATTGTTTTGTAGTATTGAGTTGTTGTAGGCTTTTGTGTTGCGATTAAATACCTTACACCAAGGATACTGCACATTTGTTACTTATTCTGCCCGGACCCTGACCCCTATGGCTTGGGTACCTCATGACAATGTATGATGTTGAAAAAAAATAGAAGTGGTGTATTTATGAGCTGATGATGAGCGAGAAACGTTTTACACGGTAGAGTAAACAAAGTCTACATATTTGATCTCAGTCTTTAGTGGTAAAATGCTACCAAATCTTTAATTAATAACTGCTAATAGTAATGGCGGTCTAGACACACAGTATCCATCATTATCTGGTGGAATTGTCCCATTTGTTGTCTTTATTTGTACAAAAAGGTGTGTTAATGGAATCCATTCGAAATTACCACTATCAACTAGTGTGTGCGTAAGAACATGCATGTACACGTGAGCATATTTGCATGTACCCATGTATGTGCGCACACACATGCGTACATACACACACACACACCGCACGTGTGTTTGTGTATGTGTATGTGTGTGCGTGCATGCGTGCGCGCACACGCGCACGTGTGGTCGTACATATGTACATGTCCTTACAAGTACCTGCGAGATGCCGAGGTGCGTGCACGATTGTGTGTGTACACGTGTGTGTATGTACATGTGTGTACGTGTGCGTGTACTCACGGCGAGCTTGTCGGGCGCGGGGCGCGCGCACACGTCGGCCGCGGAGAGCACCTGCGAGATGCCGAGGTGAGTGCGTGTGTGTGTGTGAGAGTGTATGTACATGTGTGTATGTGTGCGTGTACTCACGGCGAGCTTGTCGGGCGCGGGGCGCGCGCACACGTCGGCCGCGGAGAGCACCTGCGAGATGCCGAGGTGAGTGCGTGTGTGTGTGTGAGAGTGTATGTACATGTGTGTATGTGTGCGTGTACTCACGGCGAGCTTGTCGGGCGCGGGGCGCGCGCACACGTCGGCCGCGGAGAGCACCTGCGAGATGCCGAGGTGAGTGCGTGTGTGTGTGTGAGAGTGTATGTACATGTGTGTATGTGTGCGTGTACTCACGGCGAGCTTGTCGGGCGCGGGGCGCGCGCACACGTCGGCCGCGGAGAGCACCTGCGAGATGCCGAGGTGAGTGCGTGTGTGTGTGTGAGAGTGTATGTACATGTGTGTATGTGTGCGTGTACTCACGGCGAGCTTGTCGGGCGCGGGGCGCGCGCACACGTCGGCCGCGGAGAGCACCTGCGAGATGCCGAGGTGAGTGCGTGTGTGTGTGTGAGAGTGTATGTACATGTGTGTATGTGTGCGTGTACTCACGGCGAGCTTGTCGGGCGCGGGGCGCGCGCACACGTCGGCCGCGGAGAGCACCTGCGAGATGCCGAGGTGAGTGCGTGTGTGTGTGTGAGAGTGTATGTACATGTGTGTATGTGTGCGTGTACTCACGGCGAGCTTGTCGGGCGCGGGGCGCGCGCACACGTCGGCCGCGGAGAGCACCTGCGAGATGCCGAGGTGAGTGCGTGTGTGTGTGTGAGAGTGTATGTACATGTGTGTATGTGTGCGTGTACTCACGGCGAGCTTGTCGGGCGCGGGGCGCGCGCACACGTCGGCCGCGGAGAGCACCTGCGAGATGCCGAGGTGAGTGCGTGTGTGTGTGTGAGAGTGTATGTACATGTGTGTATGTGTGCGTGTACTCACGGCGAGCTTGTCGGGCGCGGGGCGCGCGCACACGTCGGCCGCGGAGAGCACCTGCGAGATGCCGAGGTGAGTGCGTGTGTGTGTGTGAGAGTGTATGTACATGTGTGTATGTGTGCGTGTACTCACGGCGAGCTTGTCGGGCGCGGGGCGCGCGCACACGTCGGCCGCGGAGAGCACCTGCGAGATGCCGAGGTGAGTGCGTGTGTGTGTGTGAGAGTGTATGTACATGTGTGTATGTGTGCGTGTACTCACGGCGAGCTTGTCGGGCGCGGGGCGCGCGCACACGTCGGCCGCGGAGAGCACCTGCGAGATGCCGAGGTGAGTGCGTGTGTGTGTGTGAGAGTGTATGTACATGTGTGTATGTGTGCGTGTACTCACGGCGAGCTTGTCGGGCGCGGGGCGCGCGCACACGTCGGCCGCGGAGAGCACCTGCGAGATGCCGAGGTGAGTGCGTGTGTGTGTGTGAGAGTGTATGTACATGTGTGTATGTGTGCGTGTACTCACGGCGAGCTTGTCGGGCGCGGGGCGCGCGCACACGTCGGCCGCGGAGAGCACCTGCGAGATGCCGAGGTGAGTGCGTGTGTGTGTGTGAGAGTGTATGTACATGTGTGTATGTGTGCGTGTACTCACGGCGAGCTTGTCGGGCGCGGGGCGCGCGCACACGTCGGCCGCGGAGAGCACCTGCGAGATGCCGAGGTGAGTGCGTGTGTGTGTGTGAGAGTGTATGTACATGTGTGTATGTGTGCGTGTACTCACGGCGAGCTTGTCGGGCGCGGGGCGCGCGCACACGTCGGCCGCGGAGAGCACCTGCGAGATGCCGAGGTGAGTGCGTGTGTGTGTGTGAGAGTGTATGTACATGTGTGTATGTGTGCGTGTACTCACGGCGAGCTTGTCGGGCGCGGGGCGCGCGCACACGTCGGCCGCGGAGAGCACCTGCGAGATGCCGAGGTGAGTGCGTGTGTGTGTGTGAGAGTGTATGTACATGTGTGTATGTGTGCGTGTACTCACGGCGAGCTTGTCGGGCGCGGGGCGCGCGCACACGTCGGCCGCGGAGAGCACCTGCGAGATGCCGAGGTGAGTGCGTGTGTGTGTGTGAGAGTGTATGTACATGTGTGTATGTGTGCGTGTACTCACGGCGAGCTTGTCGGGCGCGGGGCGCGCGCACACGTCGGCCGCGGAGAGCACCTGCGAGATGCCGAGGTGAGTGCGTGTGTGTGTGTGAGAGTGTATGTACATGTGTGTATGTGTGCGTGTACTCACGGCGAGCTTGTCGGGCGCGGGGCGCGCGCACACGTCGGCCGCGGAGAGCACCTGCGAGATGCCGAGGTGAGTGCGTGTGTGTGTGTGAGAGTGTATGTACATGTGTGTATGTGTGCGTGTACTCACGGCGAGCTTGTCGGGCGCGGGGCGCGCGCACACGTCGGCCGCGGAGAGCACCTGCGAGATGCCGAGCCGAGCGCTGGCATCCAGCGCCACGCGGACATTTCTCTCCGCTTCGTCCGGCTGCAGCCCGGAGAAGTCTCTGCACACACACATTTTTCTTTTTATTGGATACGGGACAAACGAGCACACAATGCACCTGCTGTGGCCCATAGATGTCTATTCTCGATTAAGAATCAAAATGCAGATGTATTGTCACTCCTGGACTAAGATGAAATGCTGCCCCTCCAGACTGAATTTCCATCACGGCGGCCAGTCTCCACGAAGACTAACCATCTGCGTAGAAGAGCATTATAGTGCCAGAGTTTGTGCAAACACAAGTTACACTCTCTATTCCGTCACTCTCATCGTCCGATAAGACTGTAAACCGCAACCAGACCAACGGCCAACCAGATCAGGTGCACAACCAACGGCTTTACAGTGTTCTCGAGGCACGGGGGTGAAACACCGCCGACTTCTGCTGCAAAATTTCTTATCAGGTAAACCCAATAACTGATATTGACCCGACACTAAATTCCAGCCCGAGACCTCAAGCCCGAGACCATCAGTCGCGTTTACAACCACTAAACCAACGAGGCAGTCAAATACATATGCGTTTTCGCACTAACGACCGAGACGACCTCAAACTCCGACGTTATCTTACGCGCCATAGCCACGCTACAGCACGAATGGATCGGTTTAACTTTGAATAGACCACGCTCTCTCAGGTAGTGTAGAGAACTTTTTCTATTGTTTTTCTAATATCAGTATACGTTAATTCTAAAATCTATGGAAACAAACTTTCAATCATACCATGCTAATATTTCTTCTAGTGTGTAATAAATAATTAATAAATTGTACTCACATCAAATCCGGACGAAAACGATGTATGATCGCGCAAAAGGCTAGTCCGGAACGAAAACTCGTTGTCAAATTTGTGATTCGACACGATCGATACTCTCGCGTAACCGACTGACACCATTCCAATAGGTCTTGTACCTACGATAAATGCGTGTATATCAAATAAACCACGCTGAGAAACAAATTTTATAAAGCCTAAAGCCAAAATAATAACACCCAGCGTCCCACAAGGACCTATAACTGGACCATCACTTTTCATTCTTATCATTTTTTTTTCATTTTAAGCTAACGATATAAATATTTAGAAACGAATCGAAAATTAAACAACTGATTATACAAAAACTATACCTTGCAACTATAAAATAGAATAGACAAATAATACTTATTGAAATTCACTTATGCTGCTACCACTAGTACGGAAAATAACCTGTACCTTGGGAACACCAGCAAAAATCCCAGCGAGACTCTTTGTTTAAATAATAATTTACAATGTATTTCAATTGAATTAGAAACAGCGTGGTAACGATCACCTTTATTAAAGTTAACACCAATGATATAACATGAGATTGTAGATTAACTGTAGATTTACGAATTAATTAATTTTAATGAATTAAATTTTATATCATGCTCCAGACAGTCAAACGCTTATTAGAGATCGAAGACAAGAATATATTATATGTTTCGCAGAATTGGTAAAACTTTCTTGTTTAATGCTTCATGCATAAATTACCGTATAGTGGCAATGTAAGAATATCAACTACCCCACATATTCCCCCGTTCCCGTGGGTGTCGTAAGAGGCGACTATCGATAGCAGCGTCTTCCTAATAACAACTAAAATACAATGGAGATTCAAGCGTGACAACTATGACAAATATCTCGTTATAAGACAAATTATGGGGAGGCCTATATTCAGCACTCGTGGACTTTAATAGGCTGTAATTAATTAATGAAATGTGTGTAATCGTTCAATTATTCTAGCATTTTTTTTAATGTTGTTCTCAAAACAGCTACATATCACATAAATGGGACATTCGTTTCAAATAAATTTTCATCCAGTTTGCTCGCTACGAGTGGCAATAACGACAATAATTCTCAACTGTGGAAAAACTCCACGTCTGACTTCGAACTGGCTGACGAAGAAAACTTTATCATAACTATTATCTAAATCCATCTGTTATCTTTATTACAGCATTATTTGCAACAATTGTTACACTTTTCCTTATATAAAGCGCAAGTGCGGTCGTGCATGCAGTACTGCTGTTACATATGGGCTGGTGCTGCAAAATCCCACCTGGCAGCGTTGGACTCAGTGGAGAGACGTGTTAAGAGGCTCATAGGTAACCTTGATTTGAAACCAATCTTGTCAGCCTCGAGCACAGGCGCAGAGTAGCCAGTCTCTCAGTACTCTATAAGATGCATTTCGGTAAGTGTGCGCATGATGTACACACTTTAATTCCTCACTCTCCTTTCCACCATCGGACAACCAGGCGGTCGGCAGGTCGTTACCCCTTTGTTGTCGATGCTCCACGCATTAGAACCAAACAGTTAGCCTTATCTTTTGTAATGCGTACAGCAAAGGAGTTTAATAATTTGCCGTCGTCTATCTTTCCGTTCGAATACAAGAACAGGCTTTTGTTCTTGTATTGAATAAAAGAATAGGCATTTGTTACGCTAAGACAGTGCGATTGTGGTCAAGCACTGGCTTAAAGTAAAAAAAACTTATAGAAATTGACGTAAGATCAAAAAATGTCATAAATCAATTAAAAGAGATTTAGCACCATCTAATTATAAGACGGCAAAAGAAAAAAATTAAATAAAATGTCTTGTTATAAAAACTTACTGGAGTTTTATCCTTATCAAGACCCTTTATAGGGAACAGCTTTTCCATATCACCTATAGGAGTTTTCTCACTATCCTCTTCTCTCTCATTCTCATTCGTATCTAAAGCGATATTATTTAAATTGGTCTTTAACTCTAAAGGCTTAAGGTTCCTTTTCGCAATAGTCATCGGTTTAAACTGCATCGCTTTTAGATTATCTACCGGCAAGTCATCTATAATTTTATTGCTAACTTTATTAGGGGTGGAGGTGAATTTAGGTTGTTGTTCAGGTTTCATAGCCATTTTTGTTAAATTGCTCAAATACTCCGGTCTACTTTTACTATTATTGGACATTTCGACTTTAGTAGGCTCAAGGTCAACTGCGTTATTGGGAGTTGGGTTCGTAGGAGTTGTCGGTGAATTGGTGTCTGGTGTTATTGGAGCTGTTGGAGTTGTCGAGTTGTCAAAGTTGAGACTTTGCACGCTGTTTGGTGTGGCCGCGATATCGCTGTTTGTTAGACTTTGGGTCATTTCTTCCACTTGCTGTCGGAGATCAAGCATCTGTAAAAATATTTATCGATATAATGACAAAATTAAACTGAATTTTGTGGGGCAAATGATATTATTAAATATGTTAAAAATTAATCAGCTGAGATGGCTCACTTAGCGGTTACTTCAACTGAAGAATTATATACATAATACATCTTGTGATCTATATTGATGCCTAGTTTAGAGACGAAATACGTGTCATATTATCGACGCTGGTGTGTCATTCCCAATGTAGTGGTATAGTCGTGCTGGGATCAGTGGTGACGAGGATAGTGCACACAATCAAGGGAGGGCAAGAGGTGCTGTTCAAACTAGGTAATACAAATCACCCCCGTGACCAAGGTTGTCGTAAAGTGCTCGAAACGTCGGAAATATAATAAGTTAATATACGCGATAAAATCCGTTGAAACCAGTTTTATTTAAATGTGTAGTAAATTACGTGGAATTTAAGTAATTAATTTTTAACTTCTTTAATATAATAATATATTATAATATATATTTCATTCTATTATTTCATTCTATTATTCTTCTCAGTTTTATCTGTTTGTATAAAACATGAACTTACCTGTCTAGTTGAGTTATCGGACAGAGTATAGTCATCTTCGTCCAAGTCTTCTAAAACTGCAATATCTGAGTTGTTATTGACTGAGAGCAGGGACGCTAAGGACTGCATATCTTCATCCCTGTTAAAGAAATTAATTTATAGGCTAAGCGAAAAGAACATACATTGTTTTTATCTAATTGTAGTAACACACAAACTTATAATCTACCTGATGGCTATTGCTGCACACCCACATTTGCAACCAACTTTAACCAGAGAAGGCTACAGATGTCAGAGATAGTTTTATTTATAACTGGCTTTACGGCTCTGGGTTCTAGCCCTTCTGAGCCTGAAGTTACAATGTATAATTATCCTCCATAGTACACTGCTTCACAATATGTTGATGCGTCACATTGTGCAGCCCTTGGGAGATTATGACGGCAACTTGAGCCAGCAGACAGCTGACAGTTGGCGATGGTATCTCAAGGCGCCTAAGCAGACAGACACCTTATCTTTAGAATCACATCACCATTAGAGCATTTGTTACACCGTTTCCACTAATAGTTCACATGCGCAGAGATTTAATACACAAAATCGGCACCACTTTTATATATCAAAGTCCACTTCAAATCATTATTTAAACAATAATACTGGAGCAGCAATCCGCTGCCGGTCAAGATCCCGCCAAAACTCCTTACATTTACAACCAACTCCAAACAGAAAAGGCTACAGATGTCAGAGACAAGTTGTCACCTCTACAAACTAAAATAGAATGCTTCACAACCTGTAATTCTACTGGCTCTCTATACCCTTTAGACCGGAACAAAGCAGTGTGCACTATTATTTGGCGGCAGAAAAAGGCAAGAGAGTGGTATCTATACAGACAATCCAAAAAAAGAATCCTGTCATCTAGTACTAGGTATCTTAGCTTGAACGGAAAAAGACCTCACTCTCATAGAATTAGTTATTAATTATATTAATTTCGTATGGTGAGTGTAAAGAATATTGGTAACGAGGCACTCTTCCTTCACAGGGCTAACAATATATATTTTGATTCTTAATCGAAGGACAGTTGTAAGTGGTTTATAATTCACAGCATACACTGTGTGTATCAAAGTTATTCGTCTAATAGATTGCGGTATATTCTTCTGGTTTCTGAAACGAAAACGTCTTAAGAATCGTTGTGATTTGAAAATGGATGAAATGAATAACCAACCGGCCAAGTGCGAGTCGGACTCGCGCATGAAGGGTTCCGTACCATGGTAAAACACGTTTCTAGTGGGGGCGCCCTGTTTAATTTTTAATTAATTTTTATTTTTATTATTTGTTTTTATAGTGGCAAGAGAAATACACATTCTGTGAAATTATCCGGATCATGAGATACAGCCCGCTGACAGACGGATGGACGGACGGACGGACAACGGAGGCTTAGTAATAGGGTCCCGTTGGTTTCCTTCGGGTACGGAACCATAAAAAGCGACACTAAAAAAGGCAAACATTTATATAGCTATAGGATTATAGATATATGTTTATATAGATGTATTTGTTCTATATATTATAGCTTGCGAAAGAATAAGATACAATACGCTTTATACAATGATTATTATAAACGTATTTATATTTTAATTACATAAATAATTACAAAAAGTAAGGATAATTGTACTGCTGACATGTTGCATTCGTCTCATTCTCTCGAAATTTTTTTTAGTTTCTGAATGTTGAACTGCGTACATATTTTATTTTAAATTTCTTTTTTATTTTAATAGAATATTACTTCGTTTGTCACTCATAGTTGTCACAGGAATAAAATAATGGTGATGTTCATTTGAAACTCACGTGGCCTGTCCCTCTCGCAGCAGTACGGAGTGCAGTGTGAGATGCAAACAGGCGGCTCTCAGTCTGCGTGCAGAAGGCTCAAGCTGCAAACGCAGTGTTCGCTGTGCTGCAGACAGCGAGGCGTGCTTCCGCAAGTCAAGCACACAAGTCGCCATACGTCTCCGTTTGCCCGTTGGCGATACCTACACAGGGAGTACAGTTTTGGTGATCCCGTGATGAGTGAGTCAGTGGTATTTCGGTTATATTTAAATGTATGTTATACAACACACATATATTATAAGTGGTAGAGCCACGCTGCAGCTATATTAGTATGTAGCACAAACGGATCGGCTTCACCGGGATAGGACCATACTCTCGCTGAATACATATAATAAAGTATCAGCTTATTGCTGCAGTGTTTCGTATATTCAATTTGCAGTAATGGCAGAAATGTATAGATTTTGTAGTTGCAGATGAGTGTAGATAACCGGAGACGATTTTTTTAGTGGAAACGAGGCATTTTTTGCAGTTTATTATCTCTTCTCTATCTATACAAATAAATAAAATTGAAGTGTCTTTTTGTAATGTCAAAATAACAGCTTTTTACTATACGAATAGGAAAGTATATACAGTACTTATAACAAAAACACGATTTTTCAACTTTTTGTCTGTCTTTCTGTCTGTCTGTCTGTTTGTTCCGGCTAATCTCCGAAACAGCTGGAGCGATTTTGACCGGACTTTCACTGACAGATAGCTGATGTTATAAGAAGTAACTTAGGTTACTTTTATTTTAGAAAAAGAATTAGGGTACAGCGCAAAAAATTAAAACCCATGAAATCCAATCGTAATAAATTACGCGCGGGCGAAGTCGCGGGGAACAGCTAGTATATAATAAAAACTCAATTACTGTCCGTTAGTCTCGCGAAAAACTCGAAAATAGGTCGACTGATTTTTAGAATTTTTTTTGCGTGTGTCTGTGTATGTCCCTGGATGGTTTAGATTCACAATTGGACCAAGCAGGTGGCGTTGTAGTCGAAATCCAGAAATCTAAGCGAAGCCGGGGCGGATTGCTAGTCTATAATAAATTTAAAAAACTGCGCAAGTGTAATATATATAAGCCAGTGTGCTATCTCATCCGATGGTAAGTGGTGATGTAGCCGAAGATAATAAAGCGCAATGACTTAGATGAAGGCTAGTATTCACTTTTGCAACATTGTAATGTGATAGAATTTGTGTAGTGTTCTAAATTATCTAGGACAGAGGTGCCCAACAATTCGATCACTGCTCGCGATGTTTAGACAAAGATTAAATGTTAAATAGACTACTTACGAGGGCGGCACTGAAAATTTCGGGAATCAAGGAAGTGACACAACATTACCATTTAAAAATGTATTTATTGCTTTTCGAAGTATTCTCCGCGAAATTTGACACATTTTTCCATACGATGGAACCAATCATTGAAGCAACCATTCCATTCGGAAGTTGGGGTCTCCAAAATGGCCGTTTTGTAGGCGTCCACAGCTTCTTCAGGTGATGAAAATCTCTGTCCACGCAATATATTCTTTATTTTAGGGAAAGTATAGAAATCATTAGGGCTTAGGTCGAGGCTGTACGGCGGATGGTCTAATAATTCTATGTTTTCTTGCTCTAAAAACTCTTTTGTTCTGTGTGCGGTGTGAGAACTCGCATTATCGTGACGGAGGATGATGCGGCGGTTGCAGTTCTCTTTACGGAGTTCAGAAACGACCTGTGGCAAACAAATGCTAGCATACCATTCTGCATTACCCGTTCTTTGTCCCTCAAGAGGAAGGAGGAGTCGTAACATGGCCGGTTTTGGAGACAAACGTGGCCACCATTTTTTTTGCAACACTCCGTGAACGAACAATTTTTGTTGGCTTTAACTCATTTTCGAACACCCAAACTCGTGACTGGTTTTTTGTTTCGGGTTCGTACGCATATATCCAGGATTCGTCACCTGATACGATGTTGTATACAGCATTTGAGGATCCTGCGTGGAATCTTTCGAGAGTTCTGACGCACCAAGTAACGCGAGCCGCTTTTTGCTCTTCACAGAGCGAATGCGGTATCCATCGGGAAAACAACTTTTTTACACCTAATTGTTCATGCAAGATTATTTGTATTTGACTCATGCCAATGTCTAAAGTTGCCTGAATTTCGCGGTATATCACATCTTCCTCAATCAGCTTACGCACAGCATCAACGTTTTCTTGGGTGACTGCAGTTTTTGGACGACCTTGACGGGGATCATCACTGAGCTTGACACGTCCACGTTGAAATTCAGCAAACCAGCGATAAATTATGGTTTTGGATGGGGCTTCATCACCAAATGCAGAAATCAGCCGGTCAACACACTGTTTTTGTGTTAAACCACTTCGAAAGTCATAATAAATCATCGCTCTTGAATTTTCTCGAGTCAATTCCATTTTCTCAACGACTAAACAAGTTTGATAAAACCTTGTGACAAGACCGAGAATCTTTTTTTAAATAAATAAATGGTATTCGATTTTTAAAACTTCATATGACATAAAAATTTAATATGACAGGAACAGTGGAAATATTCCATTCCCGATACTTTTAGTGCAGCCCTCGTATTAGGAGTGTGCCAGCTCCTTCCACTTGACCGCATCCAACGCAGGGCGGCATCCAACCGAGCCCTTTCCGATCGGCTCGATTCATTGGCACTGCGAAGAGATGTTGCATCCCTGCATTTTCTTTCGCATCTACCATGGGGAGTGCTCTGAGGAATTGTTCGGATTAATCCCAGCCGCCAAATTTCACGAACGCACATCGCGGCAGAACTCCCGATATCATCCACACCATCTGGATGATTGGCGGTCCACCACTGTGCGATTTAGAAGATGTTTTCTTCCTCGCACGACCTCCTTGTGGAATCGATTACCATCAGCGATTTTTCCGGACCGATATGACTTAGGGACCTTCAAGAAAAGAGCGTACTCCTTTTTAAAAGGCCGGCAACGCATCTGCGATTCCCCTGGTGTTGCAGTTGTTCATGGGCGGCGGTAGTCACTTACCATCAGGTGAGCCGCATGCTCGTTTGCCCCCTCTCCTATAAAAAAAAAAGGACCCTAGTTAGGGCGTAACATAGTGTATAGAATAGTTTGGAATTCCACACCTCCTCTCTCCCTATTTAAACTACGGAAACATCGCGATCGATTCGTTTCCGTGAACCGTCATTACCTCGAAAAGCCAGGCTACCCGCAATTTTACTTGCACAAATTCTAATGTATTTGCGAAAACTTTGTACAAACTGTTTGCGCATGCAAGTCGCTGTATGTAGCCGGAGCTTTAGTGGCAATTTACTTTCTTATTTTGAGAATATTCGTTCAGTAGTAGACGTTAAAGCGCTGAAAGTTTCATTGATGATAACTATCACAATATATAATACATTACTTACGTCCTCCAACACAAAGGTCCAATCCTTATCTTCCAGCTCATTGGTCCGGGGGTCTCTGAACAGAGTGACGGTGATTGTCTGATTTTCCGGAACGGTGAATATAACGGATCCTCTGCGAACAACAAGTAATTTAATTTCGACTATGTTTTATTAACTAGCAACCCGCCCCGGCTTCACTTGGGTAGTATTTACTAATGTAACGTTATATAGATCGTTATTTAGATAATCATTAAATATCAAAGACCGTTAATTTTATCAATTTTTCCCATTTCTCAAAAAAGATCTGATCTGGAGTTTAGCCTAGTTCATCTCTGTAAAGTTCGTTCCGGGCATTTAGATATTTCATCTCTGTAATGTTCATTCCGTGTAACAAAGTTTGCTTACATGATGAAATAGAAATAATCTCCAAATTGCGAAACATGCAACAGAATATAAAATAACTTGCTCGCGAAATGTTCACGTATTGGTCGATAAAACTAACATTATAATGTATAACGTAGGTGAACATCAAAGCATTTTCTCTCAACCATTGCCAAGTGCTGCTCAAATGGTGAAAAAAATCATAATTAATATAATCAGGTGTTAGTTACTTTCCGGAAATCCATTATATTCATTTTATATTATATAAATTAGTCAATTTTTTCAAATTTAAAAAAAATCATCCATTACAGCCTATAAATGTCCACTGCTCAACATACGCCCCTTCCATAGATTGCCTTATCGGGGGAATTTCGCCATAGTTGCCAACCTTGGCATACGGGTTGGCACATTATTTCTTTTAATTTCTCTCTGGTACCTCTTACGACACCCACGAGACGATAATGGGGTAGTGGAGATACTTACACCACCACTACACGGTTTGGTGGTGTCAATTAGTATAGTATACAAGTGTTTTGTGTTACTTAGTTGTAAGGTACAATAGGACTGACGTTAAAAAAAAATAACGAGATTCCCTTAATTATAAATATTTTCAAAAAAACCTCGGTAAAAGTTTACGAACTTATTACATTTTGACGTACAGAAGAGTGTGTAAAAATAACTAAAAAAAAATATTTACTTTCACTCGACTTAAATTCTGTGGCATCTTCTAAAAACTTTCTAACTACTTACAAACTGGCCAGTACGATTCAGATGCTGTAACTGAGACTATTTTAAACGAACACTCACTTGAGAGGGTCCTTCAGTGACGGCTCCCACTCCACAGGTTCGGTGACCACGCGCCGTGAACGCCTCGTCCATACAATGCTCAGTTTGTTTGGCTTCCTGCAAAAGTTAGAATAGAATAGGATATAATAGTTTTTATTCAATATTTAATATACAAACAATATTATTTGTTTGTTATTTGTCTTCTATGTGTTCCTGTACCGTTCATCCGATTACGATGGAACTCCGGTGAATTGTTGTGTGCGAATGTCCGACAAAAAAAGGCATTGCAACGCATGCCGGGTACCGCTACTAGGTTATCGATAATACTTATAGAAAAGTCATAAATGCTTCTCTAGAACTGCTTGATGAGATAGAGAAAAAATTATAAAGATTTCTAATATTTACGCGAAGACTACACATTAAATGAAACTAATATAGTTTTTTTACGAAACGTCGGGAATTAAAGTTAAAATTAAACGCGATAGAATCCGTAAAAAATAGTTTCATTTAAGGAAAAAATAATTTTTATATACACATACATTAGGTATTTAACTATGAAATTGCCGTTTTTAACATGCCTTTATTCGTATTAGCTTGGTATCTATCTATGTATCTATGTAATGCAATTTTTGAATGTGATTTACACCCCCTTCAAAACGTAGGATTGATTTGAAACTTTGCACACTTATCAAGAACCGATGATAATGCAATAATTTAAATAGTTTGTCCCATTATCCTTGCCAGGATCCTCAGGATTTGCGAATAATTCATAAAACAACTACGATTTCTGCCAATTCAATCTGCTGTAAGACGTGTAAAAGAACTTCGTTCCAAAAAAAAAACACGCTTTTGTAGTTAGCCGCACTAAAAAATAGAAAATAAATAATAGTTTCAAAAAATTAAAAAAAACACGCTTTTGTAGTTAGCCGCACTAAAAAATAGAAAATAAATAATAGTTTCAAAAAATTAAAAAAAACACGCTTTTGTAGTTAGCCGCACTAAAAAATAGAAAATAAATAATAGTTTCAAAAAATTAAAAAAAACGCTTTTGTAGATAACCGAACTAAAAAGTAGAAAATAATTATCAATAAGTTTAAAATAAGAAAATAGTGGTTAACATAAAAAAATAATTTTATTGTAAAGAAGCGTGAGGTGCTTGGTGTCATTTGTTGTAAATATTTTTGTGGCTCTTTGTAAAATTTGCGTCATCATAAAAATATATAAAAAAAATTGTTGTTAAAAAAACGTAGCAATTTTTCAAATTAAAGGTTATTGGGTACACGGTAATAATGAAAGTACATCTGTGCCCAATTGTGGACCATACATAGGCTGTTACTTTAAGTTCTTCAAGACGTAATAAGCAAAAACAATGTATTCATACTGAAATTTACAATTTAACAATTATATGCATCATATAGGTGCCTCCGGACCGTTTTTTGTGGCATTCCTTGGGGGAGACATATGTTCAGCAGTGGACTTGAGAAAGAAAGAAACATTTATTGCAACTTAATTAAAAAAATTACATAAAAAAACGAATGATCGAATGAATACATCTCCAATTATTATATTCATGTCTACAATTTAAATGCAGCCATAAAGTCACGCGAGGATAATTGAATCGAGCTGAACACTAACTGACCTTAGAAACATTTTAATAAGACATGCAATTTGGTAATTAACAAATAGAAATTGAGCCTTTCAATTTTAATATTAATCTCATGAATGTTCTTACAAAAACTTTACGAGTGGGGCATGTAATGTGACACAGTGTAGTAATTCGCGTTCCTGGCTTGGTATACAACTCTAAGTGAAGAACGCTTTTAATAGAATAAGGATGACAAATGTTCACAGTCTAACTAAGGCAAGAGGATGCTGCATAATAGACAACTACATGTATCCTCGATTAAGAATCCAAATGAAGATGCGTTGTCATCCTTGAGGACTAATGTAGAATGCCTCGTTTACAGTAAACATAGTCTCCGGTTCTCTACACTCTCCCCATGAAACATAGCAGCATTACGCTGCTTTTTTACGCTGGTATTCTGTGAGAGCGTGGTCTTTTCTCGATCGAGCCGACCCATTCTTGTCACAACTATATAGCTTCAGCAAGGCTATACCACGCTAGAAGTTTCTTTGGAAATCTATACATCACTGGGCGTAAATACAAACTTCGCTTAAATAAAAAAAAAATCTGTAGGAATGTTTGTTTAGAGATTTAAATTTTTCTATATAAAACGGTAATTTCATACTTTTACCGCCATTATGTAAAGCAAATATTTTTTGGTAATACCCTATTCAAAAATAATAAGAAAAAATCCTAATTTTCATTACTTATATTAAAAATGTTAAACTTTGCCTGTCCGGATGTTTGTTATTCAATTAATAATGACATTCAATCACGCTCAAACGACTGAAGGAATTGTAATGAAATTAAAAAAAAAAATTTTTTTTGTTTATTTGCCAGAAATAGGCGTGCAGATATTAAATCTAAGTGTGGCCCCCTACTAGGTAGAGTAAGACATGCAGGAAGTCAATGGATGCAGGTGGCTAAGGACCGTGCTCTGTGGCATTCGTTCGAGGTCTATGTTTAGCAGTGACTTGTGTGAAGGGCTGCAATGATGATGATGATGATGATGGTGGTGGTGATGATGATGGTGGTGGTGATGGTGGTGATGATGATATTAAATTTAGGTATACCTAAACAAAAATAACAGATAATTAAATTTTAAACTAGTCATAAAACAAGACATCTTATTTATCTGAGATAAAAAACCGGCCAAGTGCGAGTCGGACTCACGCACCGAGGGTTCCGAACAAATCCGTAGGTATATAAGTTTAAAATTATTAAAAATATTTTTATTATATGATGTAACTAAAAATGTATGCTTTTCGCAATTTTTCGTTTATCTGTGCTATAAAACGTTGCTTCGTACCAAATTTTAAGATTCTGAATTCACGGGAAGTACCCTGTAGGTTTTGATTCGCTTGCGAATATCGAAAATTTGCGGCATAAACGGCTGTATCTTTTGATTGCGTTGGTTTAGAAGTTTGATTGAACAGCTCCAAGGGACAGTAAACATGACGACAGTAGACATGAGTATTTGATATGAATTTCAGCTTCATACATCCACGCGTTCCTGAGAAAAAGGGTCTTGACAGACAGACAGACGGACAACAAAGTGATCCTATAAGGGTTCCGTTTTTTCCTTTTGAAGTACAGAACCCTAAAAAGAAATTAAATGAAGGATAAAACAACAAAAAAAATTGAAATTATAAGCCACATTACCGACAAACGAGGTTAGCAACTCGGCATATATTGCGCCAAAAATCCAATTCCGACGCATACTGATTCATTAATTTGGCGTAGAGATGCATCTTATCATGGAAAAAAACATAAGATACATTTTATAACGATATGAAGATGGGTGGATAACAGCTAGTAAGTAATAAATATCTAGGGGCACGGTAGTGCTCCTGCCAAGTCCAGCAAAATAGCGGCTCGGCCGTACCATCCTTTTCTCGAAGCAGTTCAGGCCATTTTCGACCATTTTGTAACTAAACAATCTAATTTAATTTAATATGTATTACTTATGAGATACCTTGTTTTCATGCGATGGCCAAGTCAATCTATTTATTTAAAACATAAAAGATTTTTAATATTGATATGGTCACTATAAGATGTTGCTAGGTTAGCTAATTACGTAATAACTTGAGACAGAAGGACCCATTAAGTAGGGACTGAATAAATTAACCGACTTGGTATTACATGGATCTCACAACTTTTTACGGTGGAAGAACTGAGTTGCGAGACTTGGTTTTTTTACAAGTTATGTTTTTGATGGCATTCAGATATATCCCTACGGTTTTGGATCCCGTAAACAATAAAAATTACCATGTAGTGGCGGTGTACGAACATCCACTACCCCATATCATCCCGTGGGTGTCGTAAGAGGCGACACAGGGAAACAAATCGGGAGATGGGCAGAAGCGTCTTACTACTAACGACTAAAAATAAAAAACTGCGGTTGCCAACCCGCTTGCCAAGCATGGCAACTATGTCAAATATCTCCCCTATGACGCAATTTATGGGGGGAGGCCTATATTCAGCAGTGGACTATTATAGGCTGTTATGGATGATAGATATCCCGCGGTTTTGTATCCCGTAAGTAATAAATGTTCAACAGTGGACTTGTTAAGGGCTGTAATAAATATGGATCATGATGATGATGATGATGATGAAGCAATAAACGTAAATTACCATTTCGGCGTGGTCTCAATGTCGATGCGGTGGTAGGACGCCGTGTACTGGAACTTGGCAGCGCGTTTGTTGACGCGCTGCAGGCGCTTCCACACCGACGCCATGATTCGCCGACCTGCAACAATACCAGATGACGTATGAAACTATAATACATCCGTTTGATGTGTAAAAGTAGGTGTATGATCAAATGTGAAGGATTTTTGCCAAGGTTTCTCCTGGACAAACTCGCTCCATCATAGCCCGACGGAGGTCAAGAGTGAGCCTATATGTAATTAAATAAAAGTGACATCGAGTGCAAAATATTGAACATCAGTTTAACCTTCCTCAAATAAACATTTTATTTTACACGCAAAATTGGAGAGTTTTAAATTTCTGATACATAGGCTGCACTAAAAGTATCGGGAATGGAATATTTCCACTGTTCCTGTCATATTAAAATATTTTTAATTGAAAACTCCTTGGTTTTAAAAATCGAATACCATTTATTTATTTAAAAAAAAAAGATTCTCGGTCTTATCACAAGGTTTTGTCGAACTTGTTTAGTAGTCGTTGAGAAAATGGAATTGACTCGAGAAAATTCAAGAGCGATGATTTATTATGACTTTCGAAGTGGTTTAACACAAAAACAGTGTGTTGACCGGATGATTTCTGCATTTGGTGATGAAGCACACACAAAACCTGTTCGTTAAATTACTTAGATACGCCACATTACTAATATTTCAAATAAAACAGGCTTCGAAACTTAGCCTTTCATAACTGTAAACACAAGTGATTACCTTATTTCTGTATTCGATTCGATTTTAAGCGGTAAGGTCTAAGGATGTTACGGTTGCAGTCACGAATACAAGGTGTCAAATTTAATGCACCAATTTAGGGAACTCCAAGCAACCATTTTGACGTGGTAGTCATGCTGTAGCTGTATAGTTGTAGCACGAATGGGTCGGTTCGACCGGGGAAGGACAACGCTCTCACAGAATACCAGCGTAAAATAGCAGCTTAACGATGCTGTGTTTCGTATGGTGAGTGTAGAGAGCCGGAGATCCTTTTTACTGGAAATGAGGCATTCCATCTTAGTCCTCACGGATGACAACGCATCTGCATCTTGATACGTAATGGAGGATAGATGTAGATGTCTATGGGCTACAGCAACCACTTACCATCAGGTAGACTGTGTGCTCGTTTGTCACCCTTATCCCATGAAAAAAAATTAAAAAAAACAAGTGAATACCTTCCTCTAGTGTAGAGGTACTTTCAAAAAGGAGACGATGATTAACAGATCACCCATTGAAGAGACCGAAGAACAAGAGTTCTATTAAGCATTCTGTTCACCTGTATTAGAATATTCGCATTTGACATGATAATCTTATGATGTATCTACATCATTATAGACCCAAAGCAACGACTTTCAGACCAGGGGCGTAGCTAACGCAGTATCAGCCGTATCAATGATACGGGGCCCCCGGGTTACAAAGGCCCCGAACGTATGTAAGCAAAAATTCTAAGGACTTCTATGGGACAGGATGTTGGTTTGAATTGTTTGCCTAGCTTAGTTCTTAGGAGTATTAATTGTAAGTAATAACTTATAATCAATATATAATTATTTCAATTCAATGCGAGAGTTTTTGTTCCTTTTGTGAAAAATCTTTACCCTTCATTTGTGCTTCAGACACTCGATATTTATTATACCTGGTGACAGGAGTTGATAAAATCATTTATAGTGTTTGAAACTCGTCATGCATCTAATGTTTGTTCAAGCTAAGGCTCACAGAACACTAGCGGTTCTGTTGCCGCTCGTAAACAGTCGTAAAAACAATTTAATTTGCAAAATACATTTCGCGGTTCACAGGTATAATAACAAACATCGGTCTATTTGCTATCGCCGTATCGAACGCTGCGTGCAAGCTACATGACGGCGGTTTCCCCCGCTATTGTATTATTATGGGTTTTTAATATAATATTAGTGAAAAGCAAGCTAACAAAACAGCTAATAAAAGCTTTTAGAAAAATTTACTTCGCAAATATCCGCGTTATAAAATAAAATGATGTGCCTTACCACCGCTACTCCCAACATGATGCTGGGATTAGTGGTGACGGGGATAGTGCACGCAATTGTGGGAGGGCGGGAGGTGCTCTTCATACTAGGTAAGACACATCATTTTATTTTATAACGCGGATATTTGCGAAGTAAATTTTTCTAAAAGCTTTTATATAATGGATTTCCGCAAAGTAACGCCTGATTCTATTAATTATAAAACAGCTAATGGTAAGTGGCTACTGAAAGACTTAAGCGTAGATTCCCTGGCAACTAAAATAGAATGCTTTACAATATGTAATGATACTAGCTCTCTTGCCGTTCGAACCATTAACACAGAAGCAGTAGGTGTACTGCGTCTTGGTAACAGAAACAGTTGAGAGGATGATCCAGGTAGATTCCCAGCCAAAAACCTTGTAAATTATTAGAGTGCGAAATTGAACTTAATAATTGCGATATTAAACAATAAGTAAATTTAATATACGTTTCGTTTAAACACTGCAAGACTATATAGGGGTTATGCAGGATCTATTTTGAGAACAAACAAAAGATCGTACCCGTAAGCCAATCGTACGCCGAGCAGTTTGACTGAGTCGATGTCGGGTGTTGGCGATGTTTTTTTTTTTTTAAATATATTTATTCATATAAAATACACGCATTTAAAATAATAATAAACATCGCCAAACTGTGCAACAGTTTGTTGGCGATAATGGCGCTCTTTTGTTATACATTAATATGTATTTTATGTTACATACATATTTATCTTAGGTATCTAATCTAAAACTAGCAAGCCGACTTAGTTCTGCAGCATATGCTGTAAAAAAGATTAGAAGTCTAACCAGTGTTGAAACAGCTAGACTAGTTTACTTTAGCTATTTCCATAGCATAATGTCGTATGGTATTTTGCTATGGGGACACGCAGCTGACACTGAAATTATATTTGTATTACAGAAGAGGGCTATAAGAGCAATTTATGATTTAAAGCCTAAAGAGTCGCTGCGACAAAAATTTAAGGAAATTAATATATTAACTTTGGCCTCTCAATACATTTATGAAAATGTAATGTACGTACACAAAAATAAAAGTAGTTTTACAAAAATAAGTGATATTCATTCTGTTAATACTAGGAACAGACACAAGCTAGTAGTACCAGTTACTCGGCTCCACCGAGTCAGTCAGATGGAGTGACGACCTGGTAAGACATGCAGGAAGTCGATGGATGCAGGTGGCTCAGGACCGTGCTTTGTGGCATTCTTTGGGGGAGGCCTATGTTCAGCAGTGGACTTGTGAAGGGCTGTAATGATGATGATGATGATAATCGAGTCAGTAATTCATTCTTGGGGCGATGTATACGCTTTTACAACAAAATTCCAGAAAATATACAAAGCTTGACCTGTTCAAAGTTCAAAAACTTTATTAAACTAAGTTTGTATAAAAAGGGTTATTATAATATTAAGGAATTTATGGATGATAATAACCCCTGGAAATAAGGTGATCGCTACCAAGCTATTTCTAATTTGTTGTGTTGTTAATTTGTGTAACATCATGATTGTAAGCTGTTATTTAAAAAAAAAGTCCCGCTGGGTTTCTTGCTGGTTCTTCCCAGGACAGAGGTTTTTTCCGAACCAGTGGTAATCAAACAAAAGAGTGACTTTCAATAAGTATTATTTATAATCTATATTGAATAAAAAAGTTTAATTGATACATATTATAGGTAGCACGTTATACTTTTCATATGAATGCATCTTTCAGTCTTTTCTTTAATGTTACAGTGCTTATGTCTTTGGACGTGTCTCTTATAAAATCTATTCTATTAAATATTAGCGGAGTTAAATATTGCCTAGTTCCCTTACCATAATAGTTTCTTATGTGTGCTATAACATATTTACCCTTCTGAACTTGCCTGGTACGATATTTATGCGTTATAGATTGTTTATATTTATTTATTTTACATTGTTCTAAAGCAATTAGGTAATCTACCTTTTCATGTACCGGAAGTATTTTACATATATTAAATAATTTGTCATAATTTGTTTTACACTTTAATTTTACTTTTTTACTTATTAAACACTTAAGTATTCACGAGCGAATTCCCGCGGCGGTAAAGACGTCCGTATATCTCGTGATGTACGGAGAGCCTAAAAGACATGCTATTTTAAGTAGGTCGTTCGTACACTAATTTAAATTTTTATGCGATCTTAACTAATAAATAAAGAATGGGCACAAAGCTTACAAAGCACCGCTAAGTTCACTAAATACTAAGTTACTTTTTAAATATTAAATAACTATTGCGCAGTTACCGTGTTTGTGGCTGTGTAATAATATCTACTAGCCCATATTATCCCGTAGGCATTGTAAGAGGCGACAGAGGGAAACTGAACCAGGAGATGGGCACCAGTACCTTCCTGGTAAAAGCTAAGTAAAAATAAAAAACTGCAGTTGTTAAACCGTTTACTAAGCCTGGCAATTATGGTAAATGTTATGGCCATGCTGCAGCTGTATTAGTGGTATAGTTGTAGCACGAATGGGTCGGCTCGACCGGGGAAGGACCACGCTCTCACTGAATACCAGCGTAAAATAGCAGCTTAATGCTGCTGTATTTCGTATGGTGAGTGTAGAGAACCGGAGACTCTTTTTACTGGAAAAGAGGCATACCATCTTAGTCCTCACGGGTGACAACTCATCTGCATTTCGATTCGCACACGAGGATACATGAAGATGTCTATGGGCCGCAGCAAGCGCTTACCATCAGGTGGACTGTGTGCTCGTTTGTATTCTATAAAAAAATACCCTCCCTATACGCTAGTATTCTGGGAGAGCGTGGTCCTTCCCGGTCGAGCCGACCCATTCGTGTTACAACTATACTACTAATGTAGCTGCAGCATGGCTCTACCACGTTGAAAATAAAATGTAACTATATATAAATATATATAACTGTACAGAAAAAAATAAATACACACAAATTAAAAACCTCATTCTAATTTGAAGGTACATATAAAGTTGATAAAGTCCAATTTCGGACGACAACGCTTTAATCGAATTCTGCAAACAGGTCAACGTGAACACGAGCGG